TGCTCTATTCATAACAGCCAGAAACTGGAAACAACCGAGATGTCCCTCAGCAGAAGACTGGATAAAGAAAATGTGGTACATTTGCACAATGGAGTATTACTCAGTCATTAAAAAAAATGGCCAGGCAGTGGTGGCACAGGCCTTTAATCCCAGCACTTGGGAGACAGAGGCAGGTGGATCTCTGTGAGTTCGAGGCCAGCCTGGGCTACAGAGTGAGGTCCAGGACAGCTAGAGCTGTTATACAGAGAAACCTTGTCTCAGGAAAAAAAAAAAATGAAATTCACAGGTAATCGATGGAACTAGAAAAAGATCATCCTTAGTGAGGTAACCCAGACCCAGAAAGACAAATATGATAAGTATTCATTTATATGTGGATATTAGTTGTTAAGTCAATGATAATGAAGCTACAGTCCATAGAACCACAGAGGCTAGGTATAGAGTAAGGGACTAGTGGGCACAAACAGATCTAGTTAAGAAAGGGAAATACAATAGTTATGGATGGATGGGAGGGCTAGAACAGGAGAATCAAGTAGGGAAGGGGAATAGAGGGAGGAGATATGGGGAGAGACAGCTAAAATTAAGGGCCATTTGAGGGGTAGCATGGAAACCTAATACAGTAGAAACTTCCTAAAATATACACATACATAAAAGCGATCTAAATGAAATCATCAAAAAAAAAAAAAAAAAAAAAAAAAGGGTGCGGGGAGAAGAAGTCCCAACTGGACAGCTCTTGTCACCAAATCAAGTTTCCAGTACCAGGACTGGGTTAAATTTCATTGCTTGTTGACCCAAAGAGTCCCCTGGGAATCCCCAAACCACCCAGGCTGTTGCCAAGATTGAAGTTGCTCTCCACAAACGGACAGCAAGGCCCCATTGCTGAAGACACCACCCACACAACTCACTCAACACGGAGAAGTCAGTTGTTGCCTATGTAGAGCCTTCATCCTTATATTCCAGCATCTTCGTTCAGTATAGGAAGGCACTTGGTACACTATCAAAAGGGAAGCATAAACACCAAGCCAGCCACAAACCCTTTGATCTACAATGCTGTCCTGCCTGCAAGACATGCTAGGGCAATGGTGGCACAAAGCTCATGGGAGTAACCAATATTGAATTCAGGCCCGCTGCACAAGATGGAACACACACCCAGCACTGTTTGGGTGACCAAGAAACTAGATAGCCCCAGGGACCTAGGGAGGGCTCAGGTAACCCCATGGAAGAGGAGGCAGAAAGAGTTTAAGAGCCAGAGGGAATGGAGGACACCAAGAAAACAATGCCCTCTACATCAACCTGAGCAAAGCTCATAGGAACTCAGAGAATGAGGCAGCATGCACAGCCTGCCTATGTCTGCACCAGGTCCTCTGCAGACATGCTATGGTTTCCTGTTTAGTGTTTTTATGGATTCCTGAGTGTGCGAATGAGTGGGTCTCTGACTCTTGTGTCTTCTCTCGGGCTCTTTTCCTTCTGTTTGTCTTGTCCAACTCTGATGTGTTAGTTTTGCTTTATCTCATTATATTTTATTATTTTCCATTAGAAGCGCGTTTGTTTTTTTAATGAGAGATAGAAAAGAAGTGGATCTGGATGAGGGGGCGGGGGATGGGGAGGAACTGGGAAGAGTAGAGGGAGGGAAAACCATAATCGGGATATATTATGTTCAGAAAAATTTTAATTTCAATAAAAGGGAAAAAATAAAGAAGAAATGCCAGGGGTGGTGGCACACACTTGTAACCTCAGTGCTGGGGAGGTGACACAGCAGGATCCCTGGAGCCTTTTAACCAGCCAGCCAGACCTACTTAAGTTCCAGGCCACCTCTCCCTCCCCACCCACTACCCCTTTCCTAAAGTCTCTCCCTTCTCCTCCCTCTGCTCCTGGCTCCCTCCCCACCTGGGGAATGACACTCAAGGCCATCCTTTGGCAGGAACATACAGAGACAGGAACACACACCCCCTGCTCTCCCCTCCACAAAAGACATCCAGGTAGACATTAGCACTGGGATGTAACCAAGATGTCCCGAGCATCTGGGAGTCTAGCGCCTCCCCGAGTGCTGTGTTCTGTGTTCGTTCTAATGACCTCATCTGTGGACTCTTATCCCAGCAAAGAGAGGGGCCGCAGTCTGGGCATTTCCTGTTAGAGAGGGGACAGCTGCAGAGTGAGCCTGAGTAGATTTAGACACCCAGTTCTACAGTGCATAAACACAGCAGTTAGAGTAGTTGTTTATTAAAATGTAGACAGAGGGAAAGGCTGCACACCATCCTTTCACATACAGGACCACATTCCACATCACACACAGGACAGCTGTTTCATGGGCTTGCGACATTCATCAGGTTAGCTCAGCCACAGCTATAACATGAGAGGTCACACGGGAATGCTCTTTAAGTCACTTACACTATATTCAATACAGAAAGAATGAAACTAAGTACACTTTTTCTAATGATACTTTGTTAGAAGGTAGTTGTAAAGTGGCTTTTAAAAAGCAAACAATGAGCTCTTTCACTTAAGCCCTATTTCCGGGCCTTGACTTTGGGAAGAGGGAGCTTTTCAATATTATTTGGTGAACCCTTTTCCAAAAAAAAAACGGTACCCACTCTAGACATAAAACTGCAGGCTACACACATCTTGCCCTGCATTCTGACATCTGCTAGAATGTCTACAGCAGGCTCCAGTGGCCCCTTGTTTATGACTAATGTCCGAAAATGTCACAGTCCATTCGTTAACTGTTAGCAAAAGGTGTTTGACCTCAAAGGTACTTAGGAGAATTCTCAGAGCAGCCCCTGGTGCAAAGCAAGCATTTCCAATTTCTATTTTCAAGAATACTTTTTGATGACATATAAATAGAAAAACAGGCCGGGTGGCAGCGGCACACGCCTTTAATCCCAGCACTCAGGAGGCAGAGCCAGGAGGATCTGTGAGTTCGAGGCCAGCCTGGCCTACAGAGTGAGATCCAGGACAGGCACCAAAACTACACAGAGAAACCCTGTCTTGAAAAAAAAAAAAAAACAACAAAAAACAAAAAACAAAGACAGAACAAAACAAAACAAAAAACCCCCCAGAAAAACAGGAAATAAGACCAAAAATAAAAACAAGCAAAACTCAAACACCCAAAATATGTACAGCAACACAAACCATTAATTTAAAAATGTGTATCCCAGATGGAATGCTAACTAGCAGACACAGAAAAGGAAGGCAGAGATAATATCTGAGCGTGCCTTGAGCCTCTTCTGTCTCAAGCGTGTCCAGACACAGGTCACACACCAACCCACAGGAGCAGGAAGGCAAGGCACAGCTCCCAAACCGAGCAGTGCTTATTAACGGCCATTCAAGTGGCAGGAGAAGCCGCCTGACACAATGCACTGCATGGAGATAAGTAACCTTGGTTACTGTTTCCAAGGACACTGGGCTCTCGGCTAACAAGAGAAGAGCTGAGGTGAAGCTGAATGCAACGTGAGTCATTTTCATACTCACATGCGAGGAAAATCAGCTGGCTAATATTCTTCACTCCCCCAAATCCCTGGTGGAGGTATCTAACTAAACATCTGAAGTATTAAACAGCCAATACTTTTCACGGTAAAGGCTTTTTGACTATGTCAACTGAATTTTCCCCTGGCACTTCCTAAGGAGTAACTAACCCTAGGGTAAGGAATTGGTTTTGTTTTTGTTTTTGTTTTTCAAGACAAGGTTTCACTGTGGCCCTGGCTGTCCTCAAACTCACAGAGATCCGCCTGCCTCTGCCTCCCAAATGCTGGGATTAAAGGCGTGTGCCAACACTGCCCAGCTACGGTGAGGACTTTTAACTGAGGCATTCTTGAATAAATCTATGGGTAGAGACAATCTAGCTAACAGGTACTTAAAGATGTCATGGATACAGGCCACTGTGAAGACAATACCTCACACAGCATTTCCAAAAAATGTAACAGTGTAAATGTAGCTAAACTGGGAACATTCTTTGGCTAAGGTCAATCCTGGTTTAATGAGGGAATAATCTAGAATACAGACTGGAGAGCCTCATTGCTCCTCTGGGCCATGGAGAGATACTAGTGGGGCCGTCGTTGGGAAAGCCTGCTGAAAACCAGCCCACTGTGGGTGCGGAGCCTCTGCACCCCACCAACCCCCGGGGAGGGAAAGGCCTTGTGGTCACAATGCAGAGAGCTGTCTGGATGTTCAGTCGTGAGATGACATCATCTGGAACAGATGAGTAAACGGATTCATCAGCTCTCCTCCCCACACTCTGAGCTACAGCAAGGCCAAGGAGAAGCCACAGCAACAGTTGAAAATGATCCACCTCTTGGAGAAAATATACAAGGTACAAGACGGAACAACACAGAATCCCAAACTTTGTCCTGGAAGGAGGAATGGTGAATTATGTGGAAGCAGCAGTGACATAGACTAAAGCCAGCATTTTAGATCTCCAAATAAAAACTGAATCAGGGGCTGGAGAGATGGCTCAGAGGTTAAGAGCACTGGCTGTTCTTCCGGAGGTCCTGAGTTCAATTCCCAGCACCCACATGGTGGCTCACAACCATCTGTAAGGAGATCTGGCTCCCTCTTCTGGCCTGCAGGCATACTTGCAAACAGAACACTGTATACATAATAAATAAATAAATCTTTAAAAAAAAAAAAAAAAAAAACTGAGTCAGGTCAGCAAAGCATGTAAGCCCTGAAGTCCTTCCCAATGCACAAAACCAACAGCCGGAGAGGCGCTGACTCAGACTGCTTGGCTTTTCCTGGGAGTACCACCTTTTAAGCGCTGAAGCTTCAGGTCTCTTAGTTTTCTGCATTTTGTTTACATGACAAATTCCTACCCCAGAGTGAGGTTTTTCCTTTGAAAATTCAGTGCTGTTGCTAACTGCTTTCCTCTGCCTCATCTGAGGTTCATTTCTCTAACACACGCACACACACGTGCATACACACACACCTTGACTGTTCCTCTCACTAGGCCAGTGGTTCTCAACTGGTGGGTCACAACCCCCCAGGGGTGTTATCCAATGACACTTTCACAGGGGTCACATATCAGATATTTACATTATGATTCATAACAGTAGCAAAATTGCACTTATGAAGTAGCGATGAAAATAATTGTATGGTTGGGGGTCACCACCACATGAGGAACTGTATTAAAGGTTGAACGAAGCATTAGGAAGGTTGAGAACCACTGCACGAGGCCGAGAACTCCACTCTCACCCTGGGTTCATTCTCAGGTCTCTCCGGAAGTCCTGCAAAGTCCAGCACTGCTGGCCCCAATGCAGTCATCTTTGGGAATGTGGAGAGAGGTCACTATGAAGAGATTTCATTCCATGGCTGTTATAGATTTTGTCTGGAGGAAAAACACCATGCTTTGTGCCAGTCTTGATATAGAGGCAAAATGGCAGGATCTCGGTCAAGGCTCCAAGGAGAAGGCTGTGCATCTGGACACAGGCTCTGGGCCCTGTCCAAGTGGGGAGGGTCTCCTTGAGAGCTGAGTTTCAAGGAAGGGGGGGAGGGTGGGTCTGACATGAGTAGGGAGCTGTGCCCTCCTTGCCTGCCACTGTCCAGTGGAGACGAGTACAGAGTGTCAGTTTAATCACAATCCCCTTTTATTCATTTCAAGTATTTACAAGCTAAATGCAGAGAACTGTGTCCTGCTCCATGGGACCCTCATGCTGGAGACAAACTTGCAGATTCCAGTCCTAGGATAACTTATTTTTTCTTCTTTTGTTAATTTTCACATTTCAGCATCAGATTACTCCTTACAGAAAACGGTGGTCTACATTTTAAATTATCTTAAGAGAATAAGAGAAATAGGATATGGGGGCACATGCCTGTGATCCAGCACTTGGGAGGCAGAGACAGGAGGACTGCTACAAATTCAAGGTCAGCTAGGGGCATGCATCAAGATCCTATCCTTAAAATCAAACCAACACCACCATCAACAAAAACCAGAGGAGAGGAGAAACAAGCGTCCGGTGCCGTGTGCAGTTTAGGTCGAGCAGTTTACCTCAAGTCTCAAAGGGCTGGGGGAAGTGGTGGTCAAAGGCTGTCTGATGGGAACCTCCGACACAGTTTTTCCACTCCACCTCTTGGGGAATGCTTCAAAGAGACGGATGGAAGGGACCTTTGCAGTTCCTGCAGCATTCTGTTTATTGGTCCCAGTCACCCCACGTTATGTGACAGGAACAACCAGAACTCAGCTGGAGCTTCACTGAGCAGCTTCTCAGAGCAGATCCGGCAGGAGGAGGCCGGGAGGCTTGGGCTCAACACAGTTGATCCAGAAGTTGGCACAGCTGGCGTGGTACTGGTGTCCTCCATAGGCCAGCTTGAAACTGTCTGTTTCCGAGTTGAATGCCTGCCAGAAATAGATGTGGGTCAAGTCAGGTTCTCCCTGCATCTAAGAGCTTGTCAGCAGCCACCACAGGCAAACCCCAGGTGTCACAGAGGCTGAGGCCTGAAGGGCACACACAGACAAAAGCTGAGCAGGTGGCTATAGGATTCAAGTAAGAAAGTCTTATTTATTTATTTTTTTACTGCTAATTAAAGGTATAAAATCAGTACCATTCAACCTAGTTTCAGCAAAGGGCCCAATCTTCACAGAAAAGGCAGACAGAGGTTACCGGAGAGAGGAATGAGCAGGACATGGGAACTAAAATAGCCAAGGGCTGTGGGTAATTGGGTCCCTCACTGTAAGGGCCACCCTCCCTGGAGGCTGCCATTACTGTAACATGTGAACCCTTAGAGTTCCATGGCTAACTACAGTCCTATCAGGACTGAAAACATTGAAAAGAGCTAGAAATCAACTGACATTAACTCTTACAGTCTAACGCCATGGTTCTCACCCTGTAGGCCACGACCCACTCTAGGATCACATAGCCAATATTTATGTTATGATTCAGAACATTAGCAAAATTAGAGTTAGAAGTAGCAACAAAATAATTTTATGGTTGGGGGTCACCACAACAGGAGGAACTGTATTAAAAGGTCACAGCACTGGAAAGGTTGAGAACGCTGAGTTCTAATGCTATCGGGAGCTGACCCCTGCGTGGACATACAACAGCCCCCCTCATCTGCAGCTCCGGTTACCCACAGCAGGTGACATTCTGCAGTTGGTTGTCTTAAACACCACAGACAAAACCTTAAAACCCGAATGATCTGTTTTTGTCTGTCATCCTCTAAATCGGGTGTCACTACAACTTCTCGTCTTCCGCAAGGTGCTCGTGCGTGGCAGAGAAGGATAACGACAACACCGGAAGCTGACTGGCAGCGACAAGCATGCAAACAAGACAGCAGCGGCTCCACACAGACACGTTGGTTGATTTGATCAAACATTATGGGGACAAAAATGAGTCAGTGGAGGATTCACGATTGGCACAGTCCAGGACGACCACAGAATTGTCCGTTGACCTCTCAACACACAAGACTGAGACGGAGACACTAAGGTAACCTGTAACTGGCTCATACTTTTTTAGGCTGTTCTTCTGCAGGCTTCTCTTCTTTCTGAAATAATGTTGAAACCATAAAGTCAAAAAAAAAAAAAAAAAAGTCCCTAGAACAGGCCTCTTGCCTCCAGGTAAATCCACATGGCTTGCCATTTTCTCCCCATGCCCTGTTCATGGAGTGCTGGAGAGACCCTGTGAACTGCATGCCCAACAGGGAGGGAAGGACTCTGTCCACTCCCTCAGCACCTTCTCCACGGTCCTGTAGAAAAAAGCAGATCTGCTTCTACAGAACTTTCTAGACTTCAAATTTCCTACCTCTGGTCACAGAGCTTGTTGTAAAGTGGGCTACATATGGCTGTCCCCCAGGTCATGTTAGGGAGGAACCTTACCCTTAAAGGGGGAAGGCGAGGACTTACCCGGCTCCTGGAGTCCACATTTAAGAGACACACCCCACAAGCCAGCTCCTGAGCGTTTTTAATCCCAGGCCGTAACATACAGGAGGAAAAATCCAGGGAGTTTTCATCTGGCTGAGGATGAATGGGTAAAGATGGGTAAGGACATAGCAATTTCAAACGCTGTGTAGGTCAACTGTAAAATTAAGTCAACTAATAACACAAGTGCTGAGTTTCCCGAATCTGCCAAGTAGCTGCTATGACTAGGTGCTAGCGACGCCAGTGGGAAGAAAAGCACCTCCTAGCCTTGGGGTGGTCTAGGGTGGAGCTATGGGGTGTCAAGCAATGCAAGGCCATTAGTGCTAGAGTACTTACTTTGGGATAAGGACTGAGTATCCAGACCCTCAACAGGGGCACTTAGCCAGGGAATGCTTCCTGGAAGTCAGAATCATCCTGCCGGAGTATTGATGATACTATCGAAGGTGATGGGTCAATGGGGTGATGGGGTGATGGTCGATGGGTCGGGAGGGGCAGGAGAGAGGAAGGATATCTCGCAGACAAGCAGCACAAAGCAAAGACGTCTAAGCAAATTCCAGCTAAGAGAAGAAATCGAGGGTGGGAGCCAAGCCAAGGAGAGGGGGAGGAGATGAGGCTAGAACATCAAGGAACCAGAAAGGAACGGGAGGAGTGAGACAGGACCAAGTATGCATCGCAGGTACAACCCTGCTGTCTTGTGGCAGTGTCAGCAAGAGACTGGGGGTGGCAGTCCTCAAGATGCGGCTTCAGTTGGATGACTGCTAAGACAGCAGAGGGGAAGGGCTGAGAAGGGGGCAGACTCTCCAGGCACGAGCATGTGCAGGACAGAAAGGAAGGAGGGAGGCTTGGGCAGCTGAGAAGATGCACTTTAAGCTCTCAAGGACAGAAGAGTACAGCTTGGCTCAGGCCGAGCTGTAGCTGCCAAGGTCGGAAGTGCAGTTGTGGGGTCGTATAGGCCAGCTAATGCTAAGAGTGAGGTCTGAAAGTCAGCAGCAAGAGCCAGGCTTATGCTTGTGCTAAGTGATAAGCTTATATTATGATATATGATAATACAAAAATATTATATTATAATATGAAAATATATGTCAACAAGTCTGGTTCCAAAAAAAGCATTCATAGCAACTGTATCCATATTAGCCAAATCTGGCACCAACAATGTGTCTAGTAATAAGAAGATGGATAAACAAGTTGTGATGTATTAATACAACAGACTACTACTTAGCCAGGGAGCAAGGTGACATTTGATCAATATGACTGCATTTCAATATTATGCTACTAAGCAAACCAGACACAAGAATGCTAACATTTAATACCACTTCATGTTTATAGAGTATTAAAACAGAGGAATCTCTGACTAGGGAAATCAGGTTGGTTGCTTTTGGAATCAGATCAGGGATTGACTCTCAAAGAGCTTCAGTGAACTTTAGGCAGGGACGAAAATATTCTGAATATTTTCCAGGCCTTAAAGTCCTTGTGGCACAGGACCTTAATTACAGTATTCGGAGGGGCAGAGGCAGGCAGGTCTCAGAGACTTGGAGGCTAGCCTGGCTTATATAGTAAGTTCCAGGCAAGCCAGGGCTACATAGTGAGAACCTGTCTTAAAAAACCAAAACCAGGAGCTGAAGAGCTAGCTCGGTGGTTAAGAGCACTGACTGCTCTTCCAGTAGACCTGGGTTCAATTCCCAGCACCCACATGGCAGCTCACAACTCTCTGTAGCGCTAGTTCCAGAGAATCTGACACGCTTACACAGACATACATTCAGGCAAAACACACATGCACATAAAATAAACTAAAAAACCAAACCAGACAACAAACAAAACTCCTTAAAAGCCAAAACAGCAGCAGAGAATATATGTTCACCTCACTGTAAATTTCAAACTGCCAAATGATTTTCACAGAACATATATATTTTTTTCATTTTTGGCCATCCTTTGGATTCATAGTCAACTTTTGTTTTCACAAATAAGTATAATACTGGCATGAATGTTGATGATTTAAATTTTTAATAATTTTTATGTGCATGGGTGTTTTGTTTGTCTGTATTTCTGTGCACCACATGCAGGCAGAGTCCATGGACACCAGAAGAGGATGTTAGATCCCCTGGAACTGGAGTTCCAGATGGTTGTGAGAGGCCATGTGGGTGCTGGGAATTGAACCCAGGTCCTCTGCAAGAGCAGTCAGTGCTCTTAACCACTGAGCCATCCCCCCAGGTCCTGATCAGACTCAACACTAAACTGAAACAACAAGAACATTTTGAAAACTTCACTGGTCGAAGACTTGAGTGACTGCGGGCCACAGGCTCATTTCCTCAGCTTTGGTGCTGCTCCCAGGCCACAGCTTGACACATCTGAGCATTTGCTCAGCCCCTTGGTTTTTTTTTTTTTTTTTTTTTTTTTTTTTTTTGTTTGTTTGTTTTTGAGACAGGGTTTCTCCGTGTAGCTTTGCGCCTTTCCTGGAACTCACTTGGTAGCCCAGGATGGCCTCAAACTCACAGAGATCCACCTGGCTCTGCCTCCGAGTGCTGGGATTAAAGGCGTGCGCAACCACCGCCCGGCTTGCTCAGCCCCTTGTAAACAGCCAGTAAAACAACAAGCCAAGCTCCGGGGAAACATTTGCTGAATTCCGTATTTTAAGTACCCCATCCTGGCTGACTCTCAAGCTTGCTTTGTGACATCTCTGAACATGGAGCTGGGAAGAGCTGCGCAGCAGCAGCAGCAGCAGAACTACCTGGTGATTATACCACCCAGAACCACTACTCTAGGCTGACCAAGATTAGGTTGACCAACCACACTCTTGGCTGCATTTATCCAAGATTGTTCTGGCTTTAGCACCAAATAACTCTTCCAGTTCTGAGGATCAAGGACAGTTTGACATCTTGTTACCACATCAGGGACTAATGGAGAAATAACTAGAAAATGAGAAAACTATGAGGCCTGAAATCAGCCAAATTAATAAAAGCCCATCAGTATCTGTTTATGAGGCACACAGGAAAGCAAATGAAAAGGGTACACTGTAATCTGCCAGAACTGTAGGCTTTGCATAAACTGCCCTGTGATTAAGGTAATCTTCCAAATGATAAAATTAGCTCTCCTAGGCAGGCAATGGTGGTGCCAGCACTCAGGAGGTAGAGGCAGGTGGATCGATGAGTTCAAGGCTAGCCTGGTCTACAGAGCGAGTTCCAGAACAGCTAGGGATTCACAGAGAAATGCTGTCTTTTTTGTTGTTTTTTGAGACAGGGTTTCTCTGTGTAGTTTTGGAGCCTGTCCTGGATCTCGCTCTATAGACCAGGCTGGCCTCGAACTCACAGAGATCCTCCTGGCTCTGCCTCCCAAGTGCTGGGATTAAAGGCATAAGCCACCACTGCCCTGCCCTCCTCTGAAGTTCTAATTGCCATATAAGGTAAAATAGGTTCTAGGGTCACCTGGCATGTTTGAGAGTGCCATTTGTCAGCTGAGGACACGGTAAAGACGCTGTCTCTAAAGTATGGTGTTTACAAGATGGGCAGGGGTGGGGAGGGGCTACCATCAAAGCACAGTGTTCTCTTGATATTTTGCAGCATTAAGGAAGTAAACACTCTGAAAGTCATCACACTGGGAGGAATTACCAAGGGACAGTGGAATCAAACGGCATGCGTGTATGGCTTCTAGTTGGCCACAAAGCTGGAGAAAAAGTCCTTTTTCTTTTATTAGGTTTTATATGTCAAAATTTTGTTCCCGGGGCTGAATTTTTCCTTTGATCCAACAGATCCACAAGATAAAAGCTTGGCTGACCTTCACTCAGGGCCATCAGAGCATCCACAAGTCACTCAAGTAGACGGCTTTTCCTGCTAGAGAAACACCTGCTTCTACCACAAGAGGGAGTTTCAGTCCACAGTCACCCAGAGCATTAAAGGGTTTTGCTACGTAACATCCAGCTTTAAAAAAAAATTACTTATTTATTAATTTTATGTATATTGGTATTTTGCCTGCATGTATGCCTGTGGGAGGGTGTTAGACCCTCTGGAACTGGAGTTACAGACAGTTGTGAGCTGCCATGTGGGTGCTGGGATCTGAACCTGGGTCCTCTGGAAGAGCAGCCAGAGCTCTTAACCACTGAGTCATCTCTCTGAGAGCCCTGTAACATTCAGCTTAATAAAATATTAAGTCCCATTTTAGAGTGGAGACTGTGCTTTGCCCAGGCATCCCCACTGTTATGCACACTACACACGGGACATCTTTAGGTGGAAAAGACAGAGCTGGCATTTTATTGTTTGTTTGTTTGTGGAGAGCTGGGGAATACATTTAACCAACGCTGCAAGCACACTAAGCACTCTCTCAAAAACATAACAAGACACAAGAGCAAACACACTGCCCACCACTGAGTGACCCCTGGCTCCAGTGCTGCCGGGTCTACTGAAAGCTAGAAATTACAAGACTCTAAAGTGATGATATAGATTCAAAATCTAGATTTTTATGGTTTCAATTACATTTTGATGCGTCTCAGCCCTGATTTCTTCCCCCTATGACGGGCCAGTGAGAAGGCTCCGCAGGGAAAAGTGTTCATCTTATGTAATGACTACTTGCATTTAACCCCTGGAACCCACCAAAGGCTCCATGTGGTGGAGAGTGCCTTATTCCCAGCACTGCTATAGTGAGGTGAGGGGCAGAGTCAGGGGACACTCCTAGAATAAGAGACCCTGCCCCAGCAAGGGAGAGGATGAAAACCGACTCCTAAAACCATCCCTGACTTCCATGTGCACACCATGGCATGCATGTCCCCCACACTCACACATACATACATACATACATACATACATACAGATATTCTTAAAAGAAATGGAGATGATACTGACCTCATATGGTTATTACCAGGACTAAGTGAGAATGAATGTGAAGAATGTGGAATAATGTGAAGCAGGTCTGTCTTAGTTAATGTTCTATTGCTGTGAAGAGACACCATGACCACGGCAACTCTTGTAAAGGAAACATTCAATGGGGCTGGCTTACAGGTTCAGAGGTTCAGTCCCTTGTCACAGTGGGAAAGACTTGGTGCTGGAGAGGGAGCTCAGAGTTCTATATTAGGATCAGCAGACAACAGCAAGAGAGAGACAGAGCTGAGC